CCCCACATCTCAGGAGGCCTGCACCCCACACTCTGGGAGGGCCCAGCCTCTCCATTGTGCCTTGGGACTCACAGAAATTAGGCATTTCCCCCTGGATCACACAGCGGGAAGTGGCTGGAGCTCCAGTTCTGCCACGGGGGCTCTGATCATCTCCATCACACCTAAACTCACTCCCTCTGCTTGCCCCCCCCCCGCCCAGGTTCTCTCTCTTTCTCAAAGAAATAGATTTTAAAAAAACATAGGACGTGTTATTGCTTAAAAATGAAGGACAGGGGCGCCTGGGGGGCTCAGTGGGTTAAAGCCTCTGTCTTCAGCTCAGGTCATGATCCCAGGGTCCAGGATCGAGCCCGCATAGGGCTCTCTGCTCCGCAGGGAGCCTGCTTCCACCTCTCTCTCTCTGTCTGCTTGTGATCTCTCTGTCAATTAAGTAAATAAAATCTTTAAAACAAACAAACAACCCCCCCAAAAAAAACCCCAGAATATGTTATTGCTTAAAAATGAAGGAGAGTTTTGCAAACGATCATCCCCCGAGGGCCACAGCCTTGGCTTCTAAACCCCTTCCCTGCGCGGGCCCCCTGGGCTCACCCCCAGTGTACAGCCTGCAGCCGCTGCTGACGGCAAGGTTCAAACTAGGCCCTGTTACCAGCTCCCCCCCACCCCCAGAACCTATCGGCTGATTGACCCTCCACTTCCCCAACCCTGACCTGCCCCAAATCCTGCCCCTCCCTAGGCCAGCACACCCAACCTCTCTGCCTCCAGGCACCAGGGTCAGGGGCCTCATGCCTTCTGCAGGTGTCCTCGACCTGACCTGGTAGGGTCACACAATGGGGATGACAGCTCTTGACCCACAGAGGCATGGGACTGCAGGGGATACATGGGATGCTGAGTCTGGCCTTCAGCTAGTGCCCAGTGAAGGCTGGTTCACGTTGTTTCCAGAGTCTGTGGACCCTTCAGTGCCTCTCCATGGGTCCTCACTAAGAGATTCCTTTCCTCTTTCTTTCTGTCCCCCCTACCTGCAAACATGTCCGCAGCCCCACTGTGGGCAGCCTCTGGGATGCAGCCATGAACCTGACCTGGTTACCAGCCCCTTGGACAGAGCTTGCAGACCACTCGAGAGACAGACATGCCCAGTTACAGCCAGGAATCATCTGTGAAGGGGCAGAGGGAGTCAGAGCTCATGGGAGGGATCCACTCTCTCCGGTAAGGCAGGACATCGAGAGGGCTTCCTGGAGGAGGGGAAATTCCTGGCCAGTCTCTGGAAATGATCAAGGTTACAATTTTATTAGTTCTTAGGCCCTGCAGATCCATGGACAAGAAGGACACAGCTCTGCTCCAAGGGGCCCCAGTTGAGGCGGGGAGAAGGCAAGGTTGCATGAGCAGTGATGAGACATTGTCAGACCCTCCCAGTTTCCCAGGACATGGCCCGGGGCTTGTGGGTCCCTCCAAGTGTCCCAGGGGGTCAATGTGCTTACAATGAGGATATAGGATGGGCTCCATAATTTGTTAAAAATTATGAAGTTTTTAAAAAAGATTTTATTGATTTATTTGACAGAGATCACAAGTAGGCAGAGAGGCACGCAGAGAGAGAGAGAGAGGAGGAAGCAGGCTCCCCGCTAAGCAGAGAGCCCGACACGGGGCTTGATCCCAGGACCCTGGAATCATGACCCGAGCCAAAGGCAGAGGCTTCAACCCACCGAGCCACCCAGGAGCCCCTTATGAAGATTTTTTTTAAAAGATTTATTTATTTCAGAAAAAGAGACAGAGAGAAAGGGAGAGTGCTTGAGCCGGGGTGGGTGTGGGGAGTAAAGGGCAGAGGGAGAGGGGAAGCAGACTCCCTACTGAGGGGGAGCCCAGTCAGGGGTGGGGGTGTGTGTGTCCATCCCACAGATCACAACCTGAGCCAAAACCAAGAGTTGGACACTTAACCAGTCAGCCCCGCAGGCGCCCCAGAAATGATTAAGAATTTCAAGCTACTCACCGCAGAGCTGTCAACCAGGCATGGAGTGCTTCTGAGGTCGCACACCTGTGACAGGTAAGTGCCCAGGCACGTCCTGCTCTGGGGCCAGGTCTTTCTGACTCTGGGGCAACAGGCTTCTCATATGTCCAGCTCCCTACTCACAGCACTGGGGGCCCTGTTATTCAAGGAGGGTGTGAGGGGGAGCTGTGTGGCTTTGTAGCTCCCCACCCCCAGGCGGTTGGACAGTGGGGTCACAAGCGACAGGCTCAGCTTACCCTCTGTCTTAATCTGCTCAGGCTGCTGTAACGGGAATAAGGCAGCCTGGGCAGCTCGAGCACCCAATACTTACTTCTCACAGTTCTGGACACCAGGAAATCCGAGACCAGGGTACCAACGTGGCTGGGTTCTGGGGAGGACCTGCTCCTACCGCCTCCCCCGGTGCAGGCACGCAAGAAGAGAGGAAACGAGCTTTCTTGGGTTTCTTCTTATGAGGGCACTCAGCCATCGGCAGGGCTCCACCCTACTAGTCACCCCCAAAGAGCCCCCCAGTGTCATCCCACTGGGGGTGGAGAGCCAACCTGACTTTTAGGGGAACACAAACACGCATTCTGCACCCCTGCTCGCTGATGGCAGCTGGACAAGGCCCGGGGGGATAGGCTGGAATAGAGCGCAGGAAGTGGGGCCCCGCTCCTGCTCCTCATAGGTTAGTGGACGCGCACGCGCACACACGGGCCCCTGCACCTGTTCTTGCACATGCGCAGTAACCTTGCTCTCTGTCCATTCTCTGTGCCCGACTCCAGACTGTAGAAGTCAATTAAATTTTATTCACATGAAACTTTACGCATACGCTTTTATGCATGCATTCATTTGCCTTTTCAGAAACACTGATGCGGGACCTACTATGAGCAGGTCCTATGCTGGGCTCCCCGGCTGGGGGCCTAGCAGGCATTCCTTTCTCAGAGGCTCATTCTGCTACAGGATCCTCCAGGAGGGACAGCGGATCTTGCTGCCAGCTCTAGTACCCTGCATCTGGCTGAGTACGTGCCATACGGTAGGCGCTCTGTAGCTGGTTGCTGAAAGGATGAAAATAGATTTTGATAAGTTGCAGCATTCGGAGTGTTGTGAATAATTAAAGTTATTAAGTCCTTACTCTGTGCTCCTTACTGTATCAAGTTTTTGAATAAAGCGTTATTTAACCCCCATGACAGCTTGGGGGGTAGGTGTTATTAGAAGGCTCATTCACGGAGGAAGGCTCTGAAAGATTAAGAAAGGTGTCCAAGGTCGCAGCATCTCTGGGATCACCTCTGCCTCTATCTTCTGGCCAGAGGAGCCAGAAACCCAACAGAGGAGGGAGACAGACAGTTGTGAGGAACCCACGATGAGTCGGGGGGCCCTTCGGGCTTTTTAGGTGCTCGCCGCTGATGTTCTTATTAACCCTTCACTGAAGCATGACATACACACCTGTGTAACCCAGATCAAGACACGGAATCTTACCAGCATCCCAAACACTCTCTTGGCTTCCCCCGTGTGGCTCTGGCACCCCTCCCTTTAATGCTAACCACTATCTTGACTTCTACATATACTTTACCACTTTTTACACACGGAACCCTATATGCTTTGACGTCTGGCTTTTCTTACCCCAAAATCATGCGTGAGTCATCACGTTATGTGTGTCTGTGCACTATTCGTAGCAGCGCTGTCATTCCACTGCACAGACCAGAGAATGCTGTCGGTGTATCTGTTCTACAGCTGAGGGGCATTTGGGTCCCTTCCCATGTGTGGTTATTACAAACAGGGCTGCTGTGAAGACAAAGACGAGCGCATAACGTATGCGTCTAGGAGGGGACTGCGAGGTCGTAGGGTTTGCAGTGCAAGCCCTTGGAAAGGGACTTCCAGGGGCTGCACCATTCTGCACCCCCACGAGCCGCGGGAGAGAGTTCCAGTTGCTCCACGTCCACACCAACACTTGCTGCTGTCGGATTTTCCCATCCTAACTGCTCGGGAGGCCGCGCGGCGCACCCTTCCTTCCTAATTCCCTCCAGCGGCCCCACGAGAGGGGCTGAGGATCTCTGCGTTGCAGATGAGGACGCCCAGCTCTGCGAGGTGAAGCGGTTTGCTCACAGCCGCTTCCATCCCGGCGAGGGCACGCGGCTGTCTGACCTCAGCCCGTCAGGTCATCCCTTTCTCCGTCGGGCTGCCTCCCGCAACCTTGCGTCCCTGGGCTCCGGCGTGGGAAGGCGGCCCATCCTTGAGACCGCAGCCGTTCTGCTTGAGGGGTGCTACGGGACTGGGGTCCCGGGCTGGCATGGGTCCCGCCCAGCTACCCAGAGGGGGCGCAGAGGACGGGCGGATGGGCCACGGCGACCAATGGGGTTCAAGGAGAGAGACCCAGAGGCGAGGCGGGGAAAGCGTCCTCTGCAGCACCTGGGGGCGGAGCCCACCCTGCTCGGTGCGGCCCGGGCCGGGTTGGGGGGATGGGGGGAGGAGAATGCTCCTAGAGGGGATTGGCTGGTGGGGGCCCCGCTGCGTTCGGAGGGAAGGGGGCAGGGAGTGAGCAGGGGAGGGGCGGGGGCTCCAGCGCGCGGAAGCTGGGGCTGGGGGCACGCGGGACGCCCCTCCCCGGAGGAGGGAGGTGGGACGCAACGAGGGGCGGGGCCGGTCGGGGCGGGGCCTGGGCCGGCGGGGCGGGGCGGATGGGTGGGCGGGGCGCGCGGAGGCCAATAGGCGCGCGCGAAGCCAGCCCCGCCCTGGCCTCCCGCGGCGGCTGCTGCATAGTCATGAGCGCAGGCCGGCGCTGCGTCAGCGGAAGCGGCGCGCGGCGGCTGTTTCCGACCCGATAAAGCGGCGTTGTCCCCGCGCGCCGGCCGCAGCTTCGGAGCGCTCTGTCCGCGCCCTCGTCGCTCCCTGACTGACCGCCCGGCCGGCCGGCCGAGAGCAGCCGCCGCCGGGCCCCGCCGCCGCCCTTGCCGCCGCCGCCGCCCCCCAGCGCCCGGGGCCCCGCGCCCCCGCCGCCTCCGCCCGGCCCGGCCCGGCCGCCCCGCCGCGCCGCCGCCCCCGCGGCCCCGGCCGGAGGAGACAGGTGAGCGGCCGCCTCGCCCGCCCGCCTCCCAGGACCCGCACCTGGACGCCGGCACCTGCAGCTTCCCGCCTCCCCACCCCACCTCCGCGCGGCCCGGCCTCGAGCTCCTGGTCCCGCTCCTGGCCCGCCCGGGCATCTTGTCCCCAGGGAGGAGGCCACCACCCCACCACCGCCCCGACTGCCCCCCACCACCCGGCCGGGGCGACTCCCGCCGGAACTCGCTCCCCATCCTCGGCCTCCTTCCTGCTCTCCCCGGGCTGCACCTGCCCCTCGTCACCCCCGCGCAGGATGCCCACGGGAGCATCCCGGGCCCCGTCCCCGCCGTGTGCACCTTCCCACGGATCTGACCCCCTTCGGTCGCACTGCATCCCCCACCCCGTTTCCTCGGGTTTCTCTACCCAGAGTGGAATCGGGGGCCTCGCCCCCTTGGCTCCGACCCCGTCCTGCCTCCGCGGCCTGACATCTATCTCCCAACTTCTGAGAGTCCAGCGCTTGCCTGCCCCCTGCGCCTGCCTTCACCCCACCCCCTACCCCCTGCGCACACACGCGCTCTGCACGCCCGTCCAGTGCCCCACACCTCAGGCTCCAAGCTGCCCCCTGGACTGTGCCCGTGTTTGTGTCTTAAGTGCTTGTCCTTCGGTCTGTCCCTTGGAAGACACCTTTATTTCCTGTGGCCAGGCTTGTCCCTGGAGGAGAGGGGCCAGTGCATCTCTGCAGCCGGTCCGGAGCCCCTGCCCTGCACATTTCTCTGCATCTCAGCACCGCTTCCCCTTTCCCGAGCAGCTCCTCCTCCTGGAGCTCTTGAATTTAACCCATTCCTCCCCAAGGTGTGTTGCTTCTGATTCGGTTATTGGGGAGCACTTTGCAGCAGAGGGCTTTTCCAGGGGAGCTATATCAAAACGGGGGCGGGGAGGGTGGTTTGGGAAAAGCCCCGCCTCTTGGTTAGGTATCTGTAATGATTCTAGAAAGTGGTGGGGTGGGGGGAGGGGAAGGGGCACTTGATCTTCTGGGAAGTGTGAGATTGTTGTTTTTCCAAGGGGGGCTCTGAAGGGTCAGACTGAGCCCCCCAGCCCCACTGGGTACCTCAGCTAACTCCAGCAAAAGGGGCCTTGGAGCTCGCGGGTGTTTGGGCATCTTAGCCCTAGGTCCTGGGAAGGGAGGGTTTGGAAGATGAGTGACTGAAGCAGTTGTTGTGGGGTCAAATGCTTGTCAGAATCAAAGCCTGTTTCTGCTGGGGAGACCCAGGTCGGATCTTGGCGGTGCTCTGTGTGTGTGTCCTGCATTTTCTTTCACTAGGACCACCTCACACCGCTCTCCTGCCCGGACAGACGGGCAGGGCACGGGGGGCAGCGGTCATCTCTGTTACTTTGTGTTTGAAAAAAAAGGGGAAGGGGATAAAAAGCTGGAGGGCTGGTTTATTGATTAAGTATAATGAATGGTTGGCTATCAGAAACCGTAATCCCTCATCTCCTTTTAAAAACGGGAGTAATTTCCTTGCCCTTTTGCTAGATATGGAGTTAAGTATTAAAAGAGAGAGTTTATTTAAGGCTTGCGAGAGATTTTGCAGAATCTGCCTGAAGTTGAGTAGTGGCAGCATTCGCAGCCGGCACCTCTGCAGGCCCCTAAGTGGAAAGACCCAGGCTTGATCAGGATCTCAAGTGCTCTCCGGTGAGAGGGTGGGGAAATAGGTTGTCTGAAAAATCAGGAATTTCAGTCCCAGGCAGGCTAATTGTTTTTATGGGCAGCAGCTGTAAAGGACGGAGGTGGACCTTTTGAGATGCATTTGAAATGCATATTAGGTCTTTAGTGGGTTTTTTTTGTGTGTGTGTCCCAGGTGCCCCCCCAGGGCAGGCTGCCCAGCCGCTCTGGGGCAGGGGCGGGGGGTGGGGGCCGTGAGTGAGTGGCCTGCTTCCTTTGCAGTAAGGAGTGTCCCTGTCGTGGGGCGGGGGGGCAGCAGAGCAGACATTGGACTGGGTGAGCTTCGAGGTGGCTTGCAGCTTTTAACATCCTGGGGCTGTATCTGTTCAACTTTGCTTATTGGAGAGGAGGGGAGCTGGGAAGGGGAGGGAGGAGTCTAGGGAAGGGGCCCAGCTCTCTTGGAGCCAGGAGATCCCGCCCTGCAGGTCTGCAGAGGGGGAGGGGCTGCGGCAATGGCAGCTCCCCCGTCCCCAAGGGAGGAAAGGAGTCCGAGAAGGTATTTTGGCCGGTGATTAGGTCGCTTGACGTTGGACTGGTTCCATCTGCGTCGTCAGGGGCATAGTGGGGCGCAGAGCTGAGTGGGGTCTGGGTGCTGCTGTTACTTTCCGACGGTGCTGCCTGTTTGTCCTTATCGCTCGTCTGCACCCTGTGCCCTCTCTGCCTTCTTCACTGCCCCACGAGGCCCCGGAGCCCAGCCCCGTGCAGCAGACGAGCAGCCTCACTGCCTGGCATGGAGTGAGGGCTGCTGGCTAGCGCCGTGGGTGGCCAACAACCGCAAATTGCCCGTACCCTCCTCGGGAACACCCCTGGCAGAGCCCCGTCTGTCCTTCGTGGAGCCGGAATGCGCTAGGAGCCGTGTTCCCGGGGAGGCTGCCGCTGCACAGTTGCTGCCTCTGGCTCCCCGGGATGCTTGGTCACAGCACACCCGTGGATGGAGGTGCACTCGGTGAAACACCATTGAGAGGGGTTGCTTCCACTCCAAGCCAGGAAACACGAGCGTTTCAGCTGTGCTGAGTGGAGATGTGACCAGAGGGAGAGCCTCCCAGCCAAGAGCAGCCACACGGAAAGAGGGGGCGGGGGTCGGAGAGGACCCTGGAGCCAGAGCAGTCAGCGTCAGCAGGGGGGCTCCTGGCCCAGGCCGGCCGTTGCACCTCCCCCACAGACGCCCAGACAAGGCCCCCTTGTTTACATTAGCGTAATTACCCCACCCAAATCAGTGAACAAGGATCTTTTTAAACGTGGAACTTTCAAATGTGCTTCGAGTGGCCCCCTTTTTTTTTTTTTTTTTTAATCAAAGGTATCAAATGTGAGGCCTTTGTGAAATAAGGCACTTGGAGCTAGCCGGGGGATTGTGGATCTTTTCATTGTGTGCAAAGGAAGCTTCCCGGCCCTAGATCAGGAGGAAGCTTGCCAAAAGTCCGACTTCACCAGTCTGCACGATAGATCTTTCAGACCAGCCCGCTGCCTGCGGGGGAGCAGTAGCGTTGGAAACACTTCGTGGGGCCCTCACGGCGTCTGCTAACCTCCTTCCTGGGCAAGTGACTTTTAGAGGAGACATTTTAAGAAGATTAAAACGTCCACAGACTTTCAAGGGCAGCAGCGTAATCCACTTACTGTTTGCATGTCACGAATAGAGTCCTTTGAAGCTTGGCGCTCCTGCGGGGACCCTACACGGCTGCGGGGGGACGGATGGTGTCCCCACCTTCACCGATGGGCAAGCAGAACAAGGGAGGCTGTGGGAAAGGACACCAAACCACGAAGTTGGGCGAGGAGGACTCAGAGTTCCACATCACTAATTCGGGGCTGCACAGGGTCAGTGGCAGACTCCGGAGAGGAGCCCCCCACGAGGGTGCACGTTTTCCTGGGAGGGGGAGTGCCCGCCACCCCAAGGTGGGATACTGCCACCGCAGGATGGGGTTTGCAGAGCGTTTTCTACTTACTGAGCGAGAGGCTACCTTGCCCTCCCACCTCTGCTTGGCGGGCAGCCCAGGTGAGGAAAGCATTGTTCAGACCGAGGTCGTTGGTGTTTTCATCCTCCCAAACCTGTTGAAGGATTTTGCTGGCGGAGAGGAAAACTGCATTCCTGAACCAGCGCCCGCGGGGTACTTTTCTTTTGTTGCATGCAAAAAGGGCCTTCTGACCTGGGGTTCCGGGGTGTGGCTCCTCTCCACGTTTTTTGGTGGTTTGCTGGAGGATCTCTCCTGGGGCTCTGCCTCTGAATCCCGCAGTCGGTTGAATGAATCCATTGGCAACCCAAGTGCTCCCCGTTGTGAAGACAACCAAGTCCTGAGTGCGAAATCCATAGCAGACCCTTGTGGCAGATGACAGAGGGGAGCTGTGGGACAATGGCCGGGGGGGCGGAGGGGGCTGTGCTCCAGATGGGGCGGTCACTGTATTTCGCAGGCAAAGCTTATCTCGCAATTTCGAGCGATCAGTTGGACTCTGCAAGGCCAGGAAACAAATCCGCTTCTCATTGCCAACATTTTAGTCATCGTCGTAGGAGAATCTATTTACCCAAAAGTATGATTTTTGGGTTTGAAGTGGGAAGGAAATATTTTTCCACCAATTATTTTGAGGGGGGGAGGAGTTTTGCCATCCCTACCCCAGAGCTGAGCTTGTCAACCCCGAGGTCACTGGACATAACAGGGTGGGGGAGCTGGTTCCTCAGTTGGTGGCTGGTTAGAGTACGGGTCTTGCAGAGTTTTATTTCCCTCTCAGCGGAGACCTTCAGACGTTTTTGCTCATATAACTTCATATAACTCTGAAGACCTCAGGTGCGTTTCTAAGTGGATGTTGAGCTTTTGGCTAATTTTAAATAGAATTAGATGTAATGTCTAGTGTAGTGTGTCTGTGGACACTGAAATTCACAGTTAGAATGCCCTTGGAAGGATCCAAGGCTAAGTATGTTACTGACCGGATAACCACTGTCCACCCTTAAACCCCCCAGACTGTTGATGGTTGTAACATGTGCATCTTTTTTCTTCTTGAACTTGGACGTTTGCTGTTTTCAGCTTCTTTCCACATCAGAGACTTTCATTGATCCTCCTTTCCACGTGTGACACAAGTGTATGTAAATTGGAGTTTAAACTATTTCTGTGATCATAAGGCTGTGTTCACGCCATCCAGAAGTATCTCTTGTCATTGTAATTACCAATACGAAATTGATCACAGAAGCCTCATTGATCTTCGTAATCACTAAATGCACAAAATAAAAATACATTGGAAAGGCATGTTGTAAAGAGCTGAGTGGTGGTCCCATTAAAGGAATTAGGGATTTGCCCTTGGTGCCTAGGCAGCCCTTG